AGTAGCACTTTTGATTTTTAAAAATTCCCCTTTGCCAAAGTTTCAGTCAGTTTATGTAAACATTTTAAAAAATCAAATATAGGTCGAGCACAGTGGCTCACGCCTATAATCCCAGCACTTTGGGAGGCCGAGGCAGGCAGATCACCTGAGGTCAAGAGTTTGAGACCAGCCTGGCCAACATGGTGAAACTCCATCTCTACTGAAAATACAAAAATTAGCCGGGCATGGTGGCAGGTACCTGTAATCCCAGCTACTTGGGAGGCTGAGGCAGGAGAATCACTTGAACCCAGGAGGCAGAGGTTGCAGTGAGCTGAGATCTCGTCACTGCACTCCAGCTTGGGCAACAGAGTGAGACTGTGTCTCAAAAAAAAAAAAAAAAAAAAGGAAACATATAGCCTGGGTAAGAGTGAATCCAACTAATAGCCTGGATAAGATAGTGAATTATTTTGTTTTGATCAGGACTTTATCTGCTGCAGTGAACACATTGAAATATTTAGAAAAGGGCATGATGATTAGAGTCTTGTTGACTCTCTTAACTGAGAGAATAAAATTCCATCATCCATGGACTTTTAAAGTACAAGCAGACACCCAAAGAGAGAAAGCTGCATGTTATTGTGCAAGTAAGAGTTGCATTTGACAGAACATTTGTTAAAACCTGTAAGTCAAGATTTTTGTAGAGTTCTTCCCCTCAGACTGTATTGGTAGGGCCCATTCACAAGCAGGCAATACAGGGCTTCTTGATTTTCCTGATAAGACAAGTAAAAACATGAGTTAGGTAGAATTTGTGCTTGTTTTATTATATTTTCTTTCTGTTGTAATAACATTAAACATAAGAGATTCCATTCTAATTTCTGCTTCCATAAATTTGACTAGACTTGTTGAAAATTGTACATGGAAGAAAGTATGAGGAACTTATAAAAAGCATTTAAAAGATGAGGGAAGGGGAAGACAAAGAAACATGCTGGGATCACATGCTTTTGCCAACCATTTGAATATTACAATAAAAATTTTATCAAGTGATATCATATTTAGAGGACTAATATTATAATTAAACACTCTAAATAGGCCTGGCTGGTGGCTCATGCCTGTAATCCCAGCACTTTTCGAGGCTGAGGCGGGTGGATCACCTGAGGTCAGGAATTCAAGGCCAGCCTGGCTAATATGGGGAAACCCATTTCTACCAAAAATACAAAAAATTAGCCAGGTGTGATGGTGCGTGCCTGTAATCCCAGCTACTCAGCGCTTTGGGAGGCAGGAGAATCGCTTGAACCTGGGAGGCAGAGGTTGCAATGAGCTGAAATCATGCCATTGCACTCCAGCATGGGCAACAAGAATGAAACTCCATCTCAAAAAAAAAAAAACCAACACAAAAACAACAAACAAAAAACAACTCTAGATGATTGTGAGTAAATTCTTTTTAATAAATAGAGTAATTTCTAGGACGTTATTAGAAAAAAAGCATGAAGCTCTGTGTCCCTATTGTGAATGGATCCTGCAAACACAGCTTGGGATAGGGGTCTAGAGTATTTTTTTTTTCTTTCTGAGACAGGGTCTCACTCTGTCACCCAGGCTGGAGTGCAGTGGCACAGCCTTGGTTTACGTCTGCCTCGAGGTTCAAGTGATTCTTCTACTTCATCCTCCCAAATAGCTCTGACTACCGACATGTGCCACCACGCCCTGCTAATTTCTTTGTATTTTTAGTAGAGATGGGGTTTCACCATATTGGCCAGTGTGGTCTTGAACTCCTGGCCTCAAGTGATCCACCTGCCTCCCAAAGCGCTGGGATTACAGGTGTAAGCCACCGCCCAGCCTTAGAGTATTTTTAATTGTAGGTTTTAATACGTTTACATGTCAAATGCAACATATACTTTGGAGAACATATGCCAACGTATTCGTTTCTCATTGCTGTTGCACAAATCTTAAAAGACTTTAAAGACTGAATTTTCATATTTCCTAAAACAAAACTTAAAACAAGCAAGGGGAAAAAACTCTGTGAGGGTAGACAAGAGATCTATTAGATATAATAGCTAATAGTGTATGGAAGAATAAGGCGGGAGGAGGAGAAATGCTTAAACAGCAGTATGGGTAAAATTAAAGCATGTTACATTTATGAATAAACATTTGTTTTAATACAGTGATAATAGTTGATATTACTCATGAAGTAATTATTTTTGTCATTTAAAATAGTCTAGAAAGCATATAATTAGGCTACGTACAGATGTCTGAGAATTCAAATGCACTTTATTCTCTTCAAATAGATATCATTCTTTTATGCTATACTGATAAACCCACACCACAACCATTTCTGGTTACATCTTGGGCATCACAGTATACTGGTTAAGAGCTGGGCTGTGGACTCAGATGGTTTGGAGTCCAACATGATGCTATCTTATTAGCTGTCTTATTAGTAAGACAATTTACTTACCTTTCTATTCTTTGGTTTTCTTATTTGTATTTATCCCTTTTTGTATTAAGTGTTTAACGTGGTGCTTAGCACAGAGTAAGAGTAAATATAATTATTTCAAATTCAGTGTTTAGCAACTTGTTTTCAGACCATCATTGTTGTATCAAACATACTGTTTTTCTTTAAATGCTGTGATTTTTCAGATTTTCTGCCTTCTTCAATGTGATTTTTTTTCTGTTGAATTTTTCATACTTTATTCTTTGTATCAATAGATTAACAAAGTAAAAGTTTCCCAAGTGTTGATTTATAATGTTTGTGTCACACGAAAAGTTCAGTTTCACAAAGAGTAGCAAAAATTCAGTGATCTATTTAAATGCAATTTTAATCCTTATTTTTAAGCTAAGGGCTTTACAATAAGCTAAATACACACAAACCTGTATATCCTGAACTACAAAAGCAGTTTCCATAGCCATTTATGTTTTAGTCAAGTATACATTTCCACAATGAACAAGTACTTATAAACATATAAATAAAAACTATCCCAAATGCTTATCCTGTCATCAATTTTTTAAACTATCCTTGCTGCTGAAAGCATTTATTCTGAGAAGATTTAATGTGATATGGGAAAATGAGTTCTCCTAAAACTTAACAGACATTTTTTTTTTTTTTTTTTTTTTTAGATGGAGTCTCGCATTGTTGATCAGGCTGGAGTGCAATGGCATGATCTCAGCTCACTGAAACCTCTGCCTCCGGGGTTCGAGCAATTCTCCTGCCTCAGCTTCCTGAGTAGCTGGGATTACAGGCCACGTCCAGCTAATATTTTGTATTTTTAGTAGGGAAGGAGTTTCACTATGTTGGTGAGGTTGGTCTCGAATTCCTAACCTCATGATCTGCCCACCTCGGCCTCCCAAAGTGGTGGTATTTATGAGTGTGAGCCACCACGCCCGGCCTTATTAGATGGTTTTAAATAAAAAATGCCTGAACACAGAAGCATTCACATGCAACTTTTAGTTTCTTGAAAAAAAGTCACTCTTGTTATATGAAGAAAAGAATATTAAGACATTTTCTTTTAAGACAGATAAAAATTCTTAACTAAGAACTGTATTTTTCTATATCATCTCCTTAGAAGGATCACACACCAGTTCACTACCTTTATGAACCTTTCAGTTTACTGTTGTCTAAAAACTTTAGGATACATGGAGCATGTCTTAGTTATCATAAAGTCAAAGATGTCATTTAAATCTTGCTATAATAAATACCTACAGTATAGCTTACAATGGCACAGATACAGTTAACACATAAATACTACTTCACCCTTTAGATAGCCAAAAGTCAGAAAGCAATAAATGGTTTACAAGATGCTTTAATGTATATATATTTTTTGAGAAGGAGTCTCACTCTGTTGCCAGGCTGGAGTGCAGTGGTGTGATCTTGTATCACTGCAACCTCCAAGTCCCAGGTTCAAGTGATTCTCCTGCCTCAGCCTCCTGAGTAGCTGGGACTACAGATGCACGCCACTATGCCCAGCTAATTTTTGTATTTTTAGTAGAGACGGGGTTTCACCATGTTGGCCAGGATAGTCTCGATCTCTTGACCTCGTGATCCACCCGCCTCGGCCTCCCAAAATGCTGGGATTACAGGTGTGAGCCATTGTGTCTGGCTGGTACTTTAACTTATTATGTGTGATCATTGAAACCCAACAAGTAGTTCACGTATGCTAATACAAATGCAGTCAAATAAAAGCCGAAAGATCACCCTAAAATTGAAGGCATGAAAATAAAAGCTGAAAACTTTGTTTCTTCATCTTTCATTTACATGGCTAGATATCTATCAGGACCTTACTATAGAAAATATGCAGTTAATACATGTACTTTCTCCAGAAGATAATGAAGTTTCAGAAAGTACAGAAGGTATTAAGATCCATAGTTAGTTTGCTTCATCAAATGCTTTTCTAGTTCATTTCAGTTCTGCATTCATAGTAAGCAAGTCTTTAACCCTAGCAAATTCCTTTGATCCTTTCAAATCAAGAAAACAGTATTATACTGCCTTGTGAGTCATTTCAGTGATGAACTTTATATGACAGGGTCTTCAAAAATATCCCCTGATTCAGTACAGGGATTCTGGTCATCCCCTAAACCATATATCATACATCACAAGGTGAGATCTCACTAGCCTGCCAGCCTGCAGTGCCCTGCTGGCACTCCTAACAGGTTTTTCTCAATGTGATTTTATTATATCTTGTTGTCAACATATTTTTCAGAGGATTGCCTAATTTTATCATTGAGGAATAGGAAAATAACAGCTATATAAAAATGAATTCTTGAGGATTCATTTCTCAAGAATGCAATTATATTTAAATCTAAGAATACCTGTATACATTAAAAAATGTATATCCATTGTATTTCAAAAGATTCATCCATCTCACAAATATCTTGTAAGCACTATGCATATGCTGGTACTGTTCTAGGGGAACAGTACATCCGGCTGTCATCGAGCATACCTTCAGAGGATGTAGGAAGCAGGCATGGTCTGAAATACGTAGGATTTTTATAGTAGAATTATAAAGATATTAATGCAAATTATGTTGTTTTCACAGTCAGACATAATTACTGGTGCTCAAGAAGTGGAAATGATGACAAAACAGTTAGGAGCCCATCTGGAACAACTAAAAATGACCGTAAAATCAAAGACAGCCGTCCCAACGTCACAAGTCTTTGTACGTATTTGTCATAAACTTTTACCTTAAGGGTAAATTTCCTGTTGAACCCTATAATATTGGATTGCAAGTCATTATAATTATATTTAATTTCTAAAAATACAATGTTTTGTATAAGTTGATCCTGCTCTTTATGGATATTTTGTAGTAATAGTATGCTTTAAGTTGGATGAGAGAATTCCCCTAAATAAGCAACTGCAACTAAAGGAACTGCAGCTGTATAGTATGATAACCATATCCGTACTGGCTGTGACAACAGAAATAATCATAGTATTAGGTTGAAAATGTATTCATAGGAGCAGGTCAGAAATTGGCTCTAGTACAGAGATGATATAACTTGTGACCTTCCTGAAAAGACAGATGATAATCATTTTGTTTACTAGGCCTCCACTTATATTGACTTTCTCATTATATGCACCATTTTATGGAAAAACCTGGCAAACCTTATCTGGAAAAGGAGGTATAAAATGTACATGCAGTATTATTATAGAGGATATGAGGCTGTGATAACTCTCTGCAGTCATGCCCAGTAGTTAGTTTAAAACCCAAGAAACAAAAGGCCAAATCGTTGAGCTTACATATGGGGCCTTGTTGATTTTTCATGTGTTCTGTAAGTCAATGACCTTTAATATGAATAAGAAACATATCTCAGTGGCCTAAAATCTTTAACTTGCAGCTCACAAAACATGCCCTAAGATATATCTCTATACTTTCCAGGTTCTTTTGAGCAATGGTTGGGCCAGATAAATCTAATTATAATGAGTCATATTTAACTTTTTCATTTTACTTTCTTAATATTTTTATATTTTGTTAGATGATCAGTCAGGAAAACAAACACAAAAATGGTCTTCAGGCTGAGCATGGTGGCTCACGCCTGTAATCCAAGCACTTTGGAGGCCAAGGCGGATAATCACCTGAGGTCGGGAGTTCAAGACCAGCCTGACCAACATGGTGAAACCCCGTCTTTAAAAAAAAAAAAAAAAAAAAAAAGGTCTTCAGTGACACTGTTGTGTTCATTCCCCTCTAAACACATCTGATTTTTGGTACTTATAAAGGTGTTTTTTCTTTGTAGGTAGTTGTTAACCTGGTGTCCTTGCCAGGTGGGTGGGGGGAACTTTTCTATGTTGCCATCTTGTCCCACTCTCCTTTTTTTTTTTTTTTGAGATGTAGTTTTGTTCTTGTCGGCCAGGCTGGAGTGCAATGGCACGATCTCAGCTTACTGCAACCTCCATCTCCTTGCTTCAAGCAGTTCTCCTGCCTCAGCCTCCCAAGTAGCTGGGATTACAGGCACGCGCCACCATGCCTGGCTGATTTTGTATTTTTAGTAGAGATGATAGGGTTTTGCCATGTTGGCCAGGTTAGTCTTGAACTCCTAACCTCAGGTGATCTGCCCACCTCAGCCTCCCAAAGTGCTGGGATTACAGGCATGAGCCACTGCCCAGGGACCTATTTTTTTTTTTTAAGAGATTTTTCCCTTGGTTTTTTGAAATGAAGAGTCCATAAATCTTTCTTAGGTGATAACATGTATTTGGCTTTTTAAAGTAAATTAACTTTATAATAATCATACCAAAATAAGATGCCTTGAAATAAAATGCAAGTTTATTTTCTCATAATTTATTTCTCATAATGCAAGTTTATTTTCCAGGTATATAATAATTTATGAGTTAAATTTCTATCTAAAATCTATTATCTAAATTCACATGACTTTCACTTAGGGAAAATTAACTAACTTCTTTACAAATAACAACTGTATTTATGTTAAAGAGGACAGTGATTTATAATTTTATTACACAGTTACATTTTGAACATTTTTTTCCTCTTTCTTAGCCTATCTTCATTGCACTTTCCACTCTGTGGACCAGCTTGCAAGATGAAACTGTTGCAGTTGGTGTCCTCAGTAATTTATTCACTCACCTTCAGCCATTCCTGGATGCTCACGAACTATTCTTTCCTGAGAGAGTAATGCAACAGCATCTCAATGGAGTGACTGTGAAAACTGATATGGATAGAATGAAAGAACACATGGGTAATGAAAATCATCCATTATTTCCTGTTCTTTTTAAAATTGCCTCTAGAACAAAGTCACTCTTTTGTTCTAAAATTTTCATGTTATATCTTTCTGATAAAGCATTAAACATTTTTCTTCATTTAAAGTACTAATGAGGGGTGGGTGCAGTGGCTCACATGTATAATCCCAGCACTTTGGGAGGCCAAGGCGGGTGTATCACCTGAGGCCAGACGTATGAGACCAACCTGGCCAACATGGCAAAACTCCGTCTCTATTAAAAATACAAAAATTAGTCGGGCATGGTGGTGTGCTCCCGTAATCCTAGCTACTCAGGAGGCTGAGGCAGGAGAATCGATTGAACTCAGGAGGCAGAGGTTGCAGTGAGCTGGGATTGTACTACTGCACTCCAGCCTGGGTGATAGAATAAGACTCCATCCCTCCCCCCTCCAAAAAAAGCACTAATGTTCATGAGAGGACATGTGGAAGACAGAAACTTTGTAATGTGAACAACTTACTATCTAGCAGTAACCATTCCTACATTTCTAGTGTTATCATTCATGTTTTGGTTAACAATGATTTTTTGTGCGGATGTGTTTTATTGCAGTCCTAGTGATTTTATTATTGATTTGTTGGAGAAAAGAATATTATTCCCTGCTATTTTGTTGCAAATAGAGCTCAATTTCTTTAGAATGTTATTTGTTAGGTATCTACCTCAGGTTCAAGTTGAGAATTCGCAAATCAATAAATGTTATCGCTGTAAAATTAATTGAGCTTATGTAGGCCCTTTTTGATAGTTTTTTTAGTCGAAGTGAGAAGCTTGTGCTCCTGGTAAATAGTTTTATGAATATGTATACTTGTAAAGACATACTTGTTGTCAGTGTAATTGTTAATGTGTTTATTTTTATTTTATTGGAGGGCCTGAGCAAGAGTAATTAACTTCGTTTTTTTGTGCAGAAGTTTTGGCCAGCAGGGCCTGGGCCTACATAATATCTGTTTTAGTGGTGACAGCCACTCTAGTAACTGAGTGAGTTAGAAGGAACATGCCACGCTCTGAGTTACAAATTAAGAGTTCTTTATTAATTAGCCAGCGACCAAGAGACGGCTACCGCTCAAAATTCTCTTGGCCCGGAGGAAGGGGCCTGATTATCTTTTATATCTTGATTTTTCTTTTCAAATTCTATTTTTGTAATGATGAAAAATAGATAGCAGTGATTTCTTAAACTATTAGAATACATAACAAGTGAAAACTAAATCAGAAACTAAAAAATACCCTTTCAGTTCAAGGTTTTTATTACTCATTTCATTTCATTAAAACAGCATATCTAAGCAAATATTAAATGAAATCCAAAAGTTAAAGTAGTTTCAACAGTGAATATTAAGTTAACCATATTGGCGAGACTGTTTACCTGCAACTTCCTCGATTTAGATGTGTCATTTTCTACCATATATCAGAACTTTTTTTTGAGACAGAGTCTCACTCTGGTTGCCCAGGCTGGAGCACAGTGGCGCAATTTTGGCTCACCACAACCTCTGCCTCCTGGGTTCAAGCGATTCTCCTGCCTGAGCCTCCCAAGTAGCTTGGATTATAGGCATGAGCCACCAAGCCTGGCTAATTTTGTATTTTTAGCAGAGACGGGTTTTCACCACATTGCTCAGGCTGGTCTCGAACTCTTGACCTCAGGTGATCCGCCTGCATCGGCCTCCCATTGTGCTGGGATTATAGGCATGAGCCACCATGCCTGGCAGGTCAGAACATTTTATTCACCGGAACACTATTAAATTACTACTACAGTGAATTGGGTGATCCAGTGTTCTCCTAAAAGAATTTCATTGACACCTGCCACATATTGTCATTGTTAGAGGCTTTTAGGCATATCAGGGAAAAAGAGAAATGATTTATTTTCTGTAAATTATGCATTTACTTTTAGTGGTAGCCACAAGATCATTTGTGGTGCCTGCTTTTTGGGTTTAGAACCATGCCTAGAAGTGTAGGTGGGATTGTGAAAGCTAAGAAACTTTTAGAACAATGTTTTATAAATACGTGATATTATTTGTGTAAAATTTTATTCAGTTTGCTTATCAAATGTAAATAGGTAAGCTAACCAACAGTAGGAAGAATTTTAAAAAATATAAAGAACAAAAATTATACACCTTGTTATTAAAATCAAGTAACAGGCATTTTTTTGACTGTCTTTGCTCAGAACCTTCTGTTGTTTCAAGAAACAATAGTCCTGGTTTATAAGCATCATATGAAACACATTTTGCCACCTAGTATATTATTAAAACAACACTATATTGAATGAGGTCAGTCTATCTGTCTGGGTCACCTAGCAGCCAGTCGAGTCTGCTTAATTCCTTGGGTTATTTACTTGGCAGCAGCAAGAAGCATCACACACTCTTTTGGAAGTACCCCAGTCAGCTTTTCTCTCAGCAGCAATGCATGCTTGTCAGAAATGGCCTCTCCTTTCTATTCTTCATTCTGGAGCAAAATCCTACCTCCAAGTTTGCCCCCAGAAACTTACGTGACATTATATGTAACTGAGGTCATTTGTACTTCTTTGCTTGAATAGACTTCCTCATAAGTCTGGTTTTGTGAATATCAAGTTTTTGTCAATTGGGAAAAGTACAAAACAATAAAAAAGGTAATATTTATGAGCTATTGCTGATTTATTCTGGAAATTTAACCTCCTCACTGAATTAAAGCTTTTCTTGTTCTCTTTTATTTTAGAAGATAGAGTAAATGTGGCGGATTTCAGAAAACTAGAATGGCTTTTTCCAGAAACAACGGCAAATTTTGATAAACTGTTAATTCAATATCGGGGATTTTGTGCTTACACATTTGCTGCAGCAGATGGTTTTCTCCTTGCAGGTATATCATTGGAAATAAGACTGCTCTCCTTTCTCCAATTTTTTCTTTATATGGAGTGCTGCCATTTCACTTGCATATTCACTTTAAAAACTTTATGGAATTTAATGGTGAACTAGCAAAGGAGATACAAAGATGATCCAGAAACGTCTTCATTTCAGAGGTGCTCTGGTAGACTGACATAAGCAAGAAATTATATGTGATAAGTAATGGAAGGTGTATATTTATTATGAAATATGGATGCTATAGTACCATAGAAAGGGAATGACTCATATGCCGAATGAAGAATTCTAGAAATGTTACGTGACATTGACCAGATGTGGTGGCTCACGCCTGTAATCCCAGCACTTTGGGAGGCCAAGACGGGTGGATCACTTAAGGTCAGGATTGGAGAGCAGCCGGGCCAACATGGTGAAACCCTGTCTTTACTCAAAATACAAAAATTATCCAGGTGTGGTGGCACATACCTATAGTCCCAGCTACTCAGGAGACTGAGGCATGAGAATCACTTGAACCAGGGAGGTGGAGATTGCAGTGAGCAGAGATCACACCACTGCATTTCGGCTGGGCAACAAAGCAAGACTGCATCTCAAAAACAAACCAAAAAAAATGTTACACAACACTACTAAAAATATGTTCTCTTCCAAAGTAGTTACTGAAAGAGCAACACTTATTTGACTGAGTTATTTGTTAAAAAATATTCTTTGTCACTTGGCAGTTACATTTCACTGGCATAGATCAGGATTTCTCTCTGTTAGACCCCTATAAGGAAGTGGCTAATATTTTATCAAGTAAAATTTCTTTATGGTGTATATATTATTAGAGTTGTTCCAAAATAAATAATAATTCAGACATAGAGGTGAAATAAATTATCATCCAAAAAGTGCTGTGTGAATTGTGAATAAGAAAAAGTGTGCTAGGGCTAGAATGAAAACAGTGTGACAAGATTGTGTCTTTCTTACTTTACACCATTAACCTTATTTTCCTTCTTTCTTCATTATTTTTTTAAATTTGTTATGTTTCACTATTGAGTATCTTTTCATTAAAAATAATTATTGGGATTGTGTGTATACAGGCTAGAGAGAACACACAATTGGCTCATTCAAAAAATGTTATTACATTTTTGATAATGGGAATAACAAAATATTTACTGTGGGAAATTGAGAGAGTAATATTCTGAGGCCCAATGAGGGTCACTAATACTGGGGAGAAAATAATCAAGAGCCATGCAGAAGTAAAATGTAATGGAATGTAGATAGCTTCTATTTCTTTTCTTTCTTCTCCCTTTCCTCCCTTCCCTCCTTTCCCTCCACCCCTCTCTCCCTCCCTCCTTCCCTCCCTCCCTCCCTCCCTCCCTCCCTCCCTTCCTTCCTTCCTTCCTTCCTTCCTTCTTTTCTTCCTTCCTTCCTTCCCTGTTTCACACAAATAAGAAGGGAAAAGAGAAATAGGCATGTGGTTGAAAAAGCTATGGGCTAGGATTCAGAAGAGCCTGGTCTGTGTCCTTAGTGAACTAGGTAACCTTTTTGAAATCTCATACCTTCTGTGGACCTCAGTTTCCCCTCAGGAAATTGGAAAGAATCAACCAGGAGGTCTGTATTGTCCCTTCCAGCTTCTCCCAACTATGAGTCTAAGAAAGAGGGCAAAGTAGAAAAGTATAAGAGCTTGTGGGGTCATGAGTTTCAGATTCCTCTCTGAAGAAGCGAATTCTGACTATTTCTGCTTACTACATGATTTCTACTTCATTATTTTCTGGGCAGCAGCAACCTGCATTACCTCAGATGAATTCTGTAGAACTTCCCTTCTTCCATGTGGGAGTGGAGACCACATAGTTTAAATCCCAGTGTAACACTGGGGCTTACCAATGAGGGTCCTTTTCAGATGCCTTTACTGACTTCATTGCCTACCACGCTTTCCCTCGTTTGCTCCACTCCAGTGGCATTGGCTTTCTTGCTGTTGTTGAACAGTCGAAGCCCACTTTCACCTCAGAGCCTTTGCACTCTACTAGGAAAGCTCTGCCTCCCAGGTCTCTACTCACCTTGTGCCTCATTTTATTCAGCCTTCCCTAATCACCAAAAGTATCAATTGCACACTTCTTCCTTTTACTATGTGTTTAACCTGCTTTGTTATTTTTTTCATGTAGCACTTGTCACTCTGTTGCCTGCAATAAATTTGTGATTTTTTTGAGAGAAGGGAATTTGTTTTCTATAGGTTTAACACCAAGAACAAGGTCAATAACTATTTGTTGGATAAATGAAAGAATAAATGAATAAGACAGTGTTACTCTTTTTAATACAACTTCTACAAACTATGTGGATGTTTAATTATCTATAGTCTATCTTTTTTGCAGTGGAAAATATTTGCTAACATGCAAACTTGCATTTTGGAAAAGATGTTCCATTTTTGTAGTTCTTACTGGATTATTTTAAAAACAGTCCTTGCAGCAGTTAGTTTAGTTTAAGTATCTTTGAAAAATCTGCCAGATGAGTAAGTGGCTTTTCATAAAAGATTTTTTAAATTATTATATCTGGATAGTGGAAAGTATTTTTACATAAAATACAGTTTAAAATAATACTTTAACATAAAAATAAAAAATATATATAATGAATATGAATTTCACATGATACCACTCAATAAAATATATAAGTTAAAATGCTAGTTATAACATTTTAGCAAAATAAAAGCATAAGTGATATGTTAAAAATGGAGTGGAAGGGGCCAGGTGCAGTGGCTCACACATGTAATCCTAGCACTTTGGGAGGCTGAGGTGAGGGGATCACCTGAGGTTAGGAGTTTGAGACTACTATGGTGAAACCCCGTTTCTACTAAAAAGACAAAATTTAGCCAGATGTGGTGGCGTGTGCCTGTAGTCCCAGCTACTCAGGAGGCTGAGACAGGAGAATTGCTTGAACCTGGGAGGCAGAGGTTAGAGTGAGCTGAGATCATGCTACTGCACTCCAGCCTTGGTGACAGAGTGAGACTTTGTCTCAAAAAAAAAAAGGAGTGGAAGGGCCAGGAGTGGTGGCTCATGCCTGTAATCCTAGCATTTTGGGAGGCTGAGGTGAGAAGATTGCTTGAGTCCAGGAGTTTGAGACCAGCCTGGGTACATGGTGAATACCCATCTCTACAAAAAATACAAGAAAGATTAGCTAGGTATGGTGGCATGTGTCTGTAGTCCCAGCTACCTGGGAGGCTAGGGCAGGAGGATCACTTGAGTCTGGGAGGTTGATGCTGCAGTGAGTTGAGATTGTGCAACTGCACTCTAGCCTGGGTGATAAGAGTATGATGTTGTCTCAAAAAAAAAAAAAAAAATGGAGTGGATGGGGAATGGCTCTATGGGTATATTACAAACTCAGAATAACAGTATTTCTTTTTCTTTCTTTCTTTCTTTTTTTTTTTTTTTTTGAGACAGAGTCTCGCTCTGGAGTGCAGGCTGGAGTGCAATGGCACAATCGCAGCTCAGGGAAACCTCTGTCTCCCAGGTTCAAGCTATTCTCCTGCTCAGCCTCTCAAATAGCTGGGATTACATGTGTATACCAGCACGCCCATCTAATTTTTGTATTTTTAGTAGAGACAGGGCTTTGCCATGTTGGTAATGCTGGTCTCAAACTCTTGACCTCAGGTGGTCTGTCTGCTTTGGCCTCCCAAAGTGCTGGGATTACAGGTGTGAGCCACCATGCCCGGCCAGAATAACAATATTTCATAAGTGATCAAGACATTTCATATCTAATTCTTTTTTTATTTTCAGGAAATCCAGCAATTGGAATTTTAAAATATAAAGAAAAATACTACACATTCAGTAGTAAAGATGCTGCATATTCATTTGCAGAAAATCCTGAACATTATATTGATATAGTTAGAGAAAAGGCCAAAAAACATATAGAGTTAATTCAGCTATTGGAACTTCATCAACAGTTTGAAACAGTTATTCCATATTCTCAGGTAAGCAGGGTCAAGATTTTATGACTTTATGACATTTAAAAGTATAATTAATTTAAAAATTATATTTTATTGTAGAATGTTTTCCAATTCCAGGCAGCGAGAAGGAGTCAGATGAGGATCTTTTTATAGGCTGCCTGAAATGGATTCACATCTGCAGATGGAAACTAACGGAATCCATAAAGAATAATGAAAATAGGATATGGAGTCAAATTGATGAATTAGCAAATGGGAAAAATCTGAATGAGAAAGACTTCATTTACTTATAAATAATCAAAGTTGCAGTATATTTCTGTATCTAAAATCAGAGGAGCTCAACACAGATAATAACTTAGAGCTGCAGAACAGTTTAACAGGTTTAAATTGTAGTAGACTGAAAGGCCACAGAATAGATTTCAAGGTGAGTTTCTTGTATGTCTGTGTCTAGTGATTCATTCATCTTATTTTGTAATCCACTTACTGTCTGCCAGTAATTATTCTTGGCATAGGGAATTTAGTGAAACAAAACAGATAAAAATATCTGCCTGTTTAGAACTCACAGTTGATTACTGTATATTCTCATGTGCTTCCTCTTTGTCTCTCATTTTCATTGTTCATCTCTTTTTTTGTTCTTTGTAGATACAAGGTCTCACTCTATTACCCAGGAATGGAGAGCAGTGGCACAATTATAGCTTACTGTAGCCTCCCAGCTCCTGGGTTCAAGGGATCCTCTTGCCTCAGCCTCCCAAGTAGCTGAGACTACAGGCGAGTGCCACCATGCCTGGCTAATTTTTAAAATTTTTTCTTTTTTCTAGAGATAGAGTCTCACCATGTTTCCCAGGCTGGTCCCAAACTTGTGGCCTCAAGTTATCCTCCTGCCTTGGCATTCCAAAGTGTTGGGATTATAGGCATGAGCCACCATGCTCAGCCTGTTCTTCATCTCTTAAGTGGTCTTTCTGTCTCTCCTCTCTCTTTTAAACTCGCTCAAATGAAAACATTTTTAAATACATGATTTAAAATGTCTTTTGTTTACCTTTTTTTTTTTGAGACAGAGTCTCACTCTGTCACCCAGGCTGGAGTGCGGTGGTGAGATCTCGGCTCACTGCAACCTCCACCTCCTGAGTTCAAGAGATTCTCCTGCCTCAGCCTCCTGAGTAGCTGGAACTACAGGCATGCACCACCATCCTGACCAATTTTTTGTTTTTTTGTTTTTTGTAGTTTTAGTAGAGATGTGGTTTCATCATGTTATCCAGGATGGTCTCAATCTCCTGACCTGATCCACCCCTCTCAGCGTCCCAAAGTGCTGGGATTACAGGTATAAGCCACAGCGCCCAGCCTATTTTTTTTTTTTTGAGAGGAAGTCTTGCTCTGTTGCCCAGTCTAGGGAGCAGTGGCGCTCTCTCAACTCACTGCAACTTCCATCTCCCAGGTTCAAGCATTTTTCCCGTCTCAGCCTCCTGAATAGCTGGGATTACAGGCGCACGCCACCATGCCTGGCTAATTTTTGTATTTTTAGTAGAGATGGGGTTTCACTATATTGGTCTGGCTGTTCTCGAACTCTGACCCCAGGTGATCCACCCGCCTCGGCCTCCCAAAGTGTGAGCCACCACATAAGCCACCATACCCAGCCTTGTTTGCTATTTTTATTAACATTTTAACTATGAAGCAGGTGGGCTTTGTGTCACTGACCTGGCCAGCAGAGATTCAAGTGGTAATGAGTAAAAGATTTGTTGGGCTAGTGACAGTGGAGCACAGAAGATGTTCTGAACACATGGTCAGGAAGATCAGAAACTAAGGACTAACTGATTTGAGTGGGATGGGGGAAGATATGGCAGTCAGGACCATGGACAGCTCAGTTGGCGCTGTTACTCTGACATCGTGATGTCTGTTGATGTGGCTGGCACTCCAGCTCCCCTTTCCAGTGAAGCTATTCTGCAGAGCTTTCTTGGTTCTTCCTGTTGTGATGAGAGATTAGTCTTGTCTACAGTGTCTTTCTGTATGTGAGCCAAATAGTAGGTAGGCCCATAATTTTTGTTTCCACTGAAAGGCTACTCTGAAAATGTACCAATTCAGCTTCATCATGAGGCTTGTCACTTATCCATAATCCTGTGAGGACTTGTTAATACCTCAGTTTGTAATATTTGTCAATTTGATGAATTTAAAATAGTACTTATTAGTGTTTTATTGTGCATTTTTCTGATAGTGAAATTCAGCATCTCTTCTTCTCTGTTCAGATTTCCCCTTCTGTGCATTGCCTATTTATAACTTTTGCCAGTTTTTTTTCCATTCCACTCTTTCTGTTTTTAAGTTGTTGATTGGCAGTTCCTTGTCCATTCTAAATATTAATCTTTTATAAGTTATAAAAGTTGCAAATGTCTTTTCCCATCTGACAGCTTTCTGTGTGTCAGTAGAGTCCTTCATTGAAGACATATCTTTAATTTTAATGTAGTCATATCTATTAAACTTTTTCCTTTAGAGATTATACTTTTTAAAAATCTCATTTTAGAAATTTTCTATCTTAAGATTATTCTTTTACACTTTCTTCTTTTTATCTTCTTTTTCTTTCTTTTTTTTTTTTTTTTTTTTTGAGACAGAGGCTCACTCTGTAGTCCAGGCTGGAGTGCAGTTTCATGAACATAGATCACTACAGCATTGACCTCCTAGGCTCGAGCAATCCTCTTGTCTTGGGCTTCTGTGTACCTGAGGTGACAGACATGCACCAGCATGCCTAGCTAATTTTTTTTTAAAGTTTTTGTAGAGACAGGGTCTGACTTTGTTGCTCAGGCAGGTCTTGAACTCCTAGGTTTAAGCAGTCCTCCTGCCCCTCGGCCTCCCAAAGTGCTGGGATTACAGGCGTGAGCCACCAATCCAGCCCATTTTATTATTTTTAAATTATCAATATAATAACAGATACTCCCTAAAAGAAAATGATATTTATTCAGGAATAGGCACTGCAATGGGAATACACTTGCCATAGTAAACCATGTATCTATTCAGGAAGGTAAAGAAAGAAAAATGCTGTTAAAGGAAAAATTAGGAGGATTACATAATTGTTTAAGATAATTATCCTTGGCTTGGTTGGATAGGCAGTTGGTAGGCAGATGTCGTCACAGAAATATTTTTTCTGTGTAAGGCTGTGGTGACCTTTGTGGAGGATTGTGTTTTTGGAGAGTCTCTTGTGATAATTTTTATCAGGGAGTTGCCATGAGAACCCTTCCTTTATGGCCATCCCTGGCTCTATTTGTCAGAGTTTTTAACACAAGCTACACAATTTTGATTCTGACAACTTTCACACAACTTATATTTTACATTTAGATCTTTAGTCTATTTGGAGATAATAAAGGATTCTAACAGTATTTTTCTTGATGTAGTAAGCCAGTTATCCTAACATTATTTACTAAATGATGTAAATGTATATCCCACAAAATATGCTGCATCTCTATTAACTTTCGTATGAAATAGGTTTGTTTCTAGGCTTTCTATTCTGTTGCATTGGTCTATTTATCATCTCTATGCTGATACCACACTACTTTCATTACTATTGCTTTGTAATATATTTCATTATCTGATAAAGAAGCTCTCTTCTTTGCCTTTTAGCTTTCAAATTTTTCCATGAAGTTTTTTAATAAATTTGCTAAGTTTCCCCAAAAAAATCTTACTGGAATTTTAACTGGAATTTCATTAAACTAATGAAATAATTTGTGGGGGAATTTATATATTTATTATATTGGATTGTCCCATCAATAAAAATACCATTTGCCTAGTGTTTTTTTCCTATACTAGTTTCATTAATTATGCCTTAATAAAACTTGATAGATTTAGTTGTATTTTACTCTATACCTATTTCTAAAATAGTAGTTGTTTTTGCCATTTATGTATGTGTTCCTAAATAATATATTTCTATGAAATGACCTCATTTTGCCCAATTTTTTATTTAATTTTTTATTAATTGATTTCTCTTTATCTTAGTGATTTTGCAGGAAGTGCTTTTTCAAAATTTTATTTTGGCTATGAATTCCTTGTTAAGTATATGTTTTAAAGATATGTTTTCTCAGTTTGTGGCTTATGTTTTCATTCTTTTTGTGGTACCTCTTGATGAACAAATCTTTCATTTTAATGTGTAATTTGTCATTATTTTTTCTTCATGCCTTAAGAAGTTCTTATGTATCCTGAGATCACAAAAATATTCTTATCTTTTTTAAAAGACATGTTTTGTCTATTATGTAGAGTCTTTAGTCCACTTGGATTTTATTTTTGTTTGTGGTGGGAGGTAAAGATCCAATTTTAATGTTTTCCCATTTGTAGTGAAAGTGTTTTAGACTGCTGTTTAACAGTCTCTCCTTTCTCCACTGATCTACAGTGTCTTATCAATAACCACAGGCTTGTTTTTATACTCTCTATTATGTTCAGTCATTCAAATTTTAAAAAGTTCCTGTACTTATGCCTTCAGTAGCTTTATAAGTCTTGATATCTGGTAGAGTAAATTTTCACATTTTTTCTTCTCTAAAAAGTCTTGGCTGTACTAGACTCTTTAATTTTATAAATTTGAGAAGTACATAATGAAGTTCCATTAAAAACTCTTGAAGGAATTTTTTGAAATTGCCTTGTATATGTAGATTAGTAAGAGAAGAATGACATTTTTGCAACATTGAGTCTCCCTATCCAAAGCATCAATGTAGTTTTATAATACTTCCTGTGAAAGAATTGAACATTTTTTGGTTATATTTATTTAGAGGGACTTTATATTTTTTGTTGCTATTTTAAATGCTATTGATGCTTAGGATTGAATTTTAGTTCATTATTGCTTATATTATGGAAATACAGTTAATTTCTGTATATTGATTTTATCAACCTTAATAAACTCCCTTACTAATTCTAATAATTGATATTTGAGAGCCTATTGTTATTTAGAGTCTATTAGGGTTTTTTTAATGTGGGCTATCATAATGTATGCAAATAATAATTGTTTCCCCTAGACTTTGTATTTTATTTAACACTGTATGCTTTATTACAGGAGGTGGATA